ATTCCCCTTTTTGATGGGGTCCTTGCCTGGTTTGGGGATTAAGGTAATGCTGGCCTCATAGAATGAGTCTGGAAGCTTCCCTTCTGTTTCTAGTTTCTGAAACAGCTTCAGGAGAATAGGTATTATTTCTTCTTTGAATGTTTGGTAGAATTCCCCAGGGAATCCATCAGGCCCTGGACTCTTGTTTTTGGGGAGGTTTTTGATCACTGCTTCACTCGCGTTACTGATTATTGGCCTAGTCAGGCTGTCAATTTCTTCCTATTTCAGTCTTGGCAGTTTATAGTTTCCAGGAAGGCATCCATTTCATCCAGGTTGCTCAGTTTATTGGCATATAGTTGTTGATAATAGTTTCTAATAATTGACTCTATTTCCTTGGTGTTACTCATGATCTCTCCCCTTTCATTCATAATTTTATTAATTTGGGTCCTTTCTCTTTTCTTTTGGTCAAGTCTGGCCAGTGGTTTATCGATCTTATTAATTCTTTCAAAGAACCAGCTTCTAGTTTCGTTGCTCTGATCTACTGTTCTCTTGCTACTGTTGTTCAACATGGTACTAGAAGTCCTAGCAACAACAATCAGACCACAAAAAGAAATAAGAGGTATGCAAATTGGCCGAGAAGAAGTCAAACACTCTCTCTTCGCAGATGACATGATACTTTATGTGGAAAATCTAAAAGGCTCCACCCCAAAATTGCTAGAACCCATATAGCAATTCAGTAATGGGGCAGGATACACAATCAACGCACAGAAATCAGTTGCTTTCTTATACACTAACAGTGCAACTGTAGAAAGAGAAATTAGAGAAACGAATCCATTTACAATAGCACCAAAAACCATAAGATACCTCAGAATAAACCTAACCAAAGTGGTAAAGGATCTATACTCTAGGAACTACAGAACACTCATGAAAGAAATTGAAGAAAACACAAAAAGATGGAAAAACATTCCATGCTCATGGATCGGAAGAATAAACATTGTTAAAATGTCTATGCAACCTGGGGCAATCTATACCTTCAATGCCATCCTGATCAAAACTCCAGTGACATTTTTCAGAGTGCTGGAACAATCCTAAAATTTGTATGGAGTCAGAAAAGACCCCGAATCACCAAGGAAATGTTGAAAAAGAAAAACAAAGCTGGGGGCATCACGTTGCCCGATTTCAAGCTATATTACAAAGCTGTGATCACCAAGACAAAGCATGGTACTGGCCCAAAAACAGACATATAGACCAATGGAAAAGAATAGAGAGCCCAGATATGGACCCTCAACTCTATGGTCAAATACTCCTCAACAAAGCAGGAAAAAACATGCAATGGAAAAAAGACAGTCTCTTCAATAAATGGTGCTGGGAAAACTGGACAGCCACATGCAGAAGAATGAAACTCAAACATTCTCTAACACCATACACAAAGATAAACTCAAAATGGATGAAAGACCTCAATGTGAGACAGGAATCCATCCAAATCCTAGAGGAGAACATAGGCAGTAACCTCTTTGACAACGGATACAGCAACATCTTTCAAGATACATCTCCCAAGGCTAGTGAAACGAAAGCAAAAATGAACTTTTGGGACTTCATCAAGATAAAAAGCTTCTGCACAGCAAAGGAAATAGTCAACAAAACAAAGAGGCAGGGGCGCCTGGGTGGCTCAGTCGTTAAGCGTCTGCCTTCAGCTCAGGTCATGATCCCAGGGTCCTGGGATCGAGCCCCGCATCGGGCTCCCTGCTCTGCGGGAAGCCTGCTTCTCCCTCTCCCACTCCCCCTGCTTGTGGTCCATCTCTTGCTGTGTCTCTCTCTGTCAAATAAATAAAAAATAAAATCTTTAAAAAAAAAACAGACACACAAAACAAAGAGGGAACCCACAGAATGGGAGAAGATACAGATAAAGGGCTGGTAGCCAAGATCAATAAAGAAATTCTCAAACTCAACACCCAAAAGACAAATAATCAAGTCAAAAAATGGGCAGAAGACATGAACGGACACTTCTCCAAAGAAGACATACAAATGGCTAACAGACACATGAAAAAATGTTCATCATCATTACCCATCAGGGAAATGCAAATCAAAACCACACTGAGATACCACCTTACATCAGTTAGAATGGCCAAAATGGACAGGACAAGAAACAACAAATGCTGGAGAGGTCGTGGAGAAAGGGGAACCCTCTTACACTGTTGGTGGGAATGCAAGTTGGTACAGCCACTTTGGAAAACACTGTGGAGGTGCCTCAAGAAATTAAATATAGAGCTACCCTATGATCCAGCAATTGCACTACTGGGTATTGACTCCAAAGACACAGATGTAGTGAAAAGAAGGGCCATCTGCACCCCAATGTTCATAGCAGCAATGTCCGCAATAGCCAAACTGTGGAAAGAGCTGAGATGCCCTTCAACAGATGAATGGGTAAAAAAGATGTGGTCCCTATATACAACGGAATATTACTCAGCCATCGGAAAGATGAATACCCAACGTTTGCATCAACATGGATTCAGACTGGAGGAGATTATGCTAAGTAAAATGAGTCAAGCAGAGAAAGTCAATTATCATATGGTTTCACTTATTTAGGGAACATAAGGAATAGCACGGAGGACATTAGGAGAAGGAAGGGAAAAATGAAGGGGGGAAATCGGAGGGAGAGATGAACCATGAGAGACTATGGACTCCGAGAAACAAACTGAGGGTTTTAGAGGGGAGGGGGTTGGAGGGATGGGTTAGCCCGGTGATGGGTATTAAGGAGGGCACGTACTGCATGGGGCAATGGGTGTTATATGAAAACAATGAATCCTGGATCACTACATCAAAAACTAATGATGTATTGTATGGTGACTAACATAACATAATAAAATAAAATTTTAAAAAAAATAAAGTCAAATGACAATTCAGTGATAAAAGAACAGTCTTTCAATATATGGCACTGTAGGAACTGGATGTCCATATGCCAAAAAAAAAAAAAAAAAGAAAGAAAGAAAGAAAGAAAAGGAAAGGAAGAAAAGGAGCTAGACACAGACCTGGTATCTTTCATAAAAATTAACCCAATATGGATCATAGACCTATATGTAAAACCAAAACTGGAAAACGTATAAAATACAGCGCAGGAGAAAATCTAGATAACCCTGGGTTTGGTCATGACACTTCAGTATAACACAACGAAATAAAAATTTGAGAAGTTGGACTTTAGTAAAATTAAAAAGTTCTGTTTCGTGATGGACCCTGTTAAGACAACATAAAGACAAGCCACAGAATGATAAAACATATTTACAAAACATATGTGACAAAGGACCTCATTTCCAAATACACAAAGACCTTTCAGAACGAAACATTAAGAAAAAAATAATGCAATTTAAAAATGGGGAAAAGAGCTGAAAATATACCTCACCAAAGAAGATATAGAAAAGGCAAACAAGCATATGAATAGGCAACATCATCTACGTCATAAGGGGACTGAAATTTAAAACAATGACATACCCCTATACATCTACTAGAGTGGCTAAAAATAAAAAAATAAAACACAAAAACAAACCTGATGTACAAAATGCTGATAGGGGTGTGGAGCAGCAGGAACCCTCATTCATTGCGGGAAGACATGCCAAATGGCACAGCCACTTTGGAAGTCATTTTGGCAGTTCCTTACAAATTTAAACATAGTTTTATCATACGATACAGAAATCACATTCCTAGGGATATGCCAAACTGATTGAAAACTTGTGTCAGAATAAAATCTTGCCATTTGCAGCGATGTGGATGGAGCTAGAGTGTATTATGCTCAGCAAGATAAGGCAGTCACAGAAAGACAAATACCATGTGATTTCACTCACATGTGGAATTTAAGAAACAAAACAGATGAACATATGGGAAGGGGGAAACAGGAGGTGGGGTGGGGGGGACAAGCCATAAGAGACTCTTAATGATTGAGAAAAAAACTGCGGGTTGGTGAACGGAGGTGGGAGGGGGATGGGTCAAATAGGTGATGGGGATCAAGGAGGGCACTTGTTGTGATGAGCACTGGGTGTTGTATGTAAGTGATGAATCACTGAATTCCACTCCTGAAACCATATTACAGTGTATGTTCACTAACTAGAATTTCAATAAAAATTAAAAAAAAAAAAAAAAAAAAAAGAATTCAACCTTGGAGTCAAACCTGGGTTTCAGGGGCAAGAGGAAATTTTTGAAGGTGATGGATGATTTTATGGCACTGACTGTAATAATAGTTTCAGAGGTGTATACTTACCTCCAAACGCATCAAGCTGTATACATTAAATATCTACAGCTTTCTGTATGTCAGTCATAACCTCAATAAAGCAGTTAAAAGAAAAAGAAAACCTATGTCAACACAAAAACCTACACACAAATGTGCAGCTTTCTGTCAAAACTGGCAAGCGATTAAGATGCCCTTCTCTAGATGAATGGATAAACAAAGTGTGCTATTCCATGCAATGGAATATGATTCAGGGATAAAAAGTCATGAGCTATCAAGACATGAAAAGACATGAAGGAAGCATTAATGCATTTTGGTAAGGAAAGGAAGCCAGTCTGAAAAGGCTACAACTGCCTGATTCCACCTATATGCTATTCTGGAAAAGGCAGAACTAGCAGTGGCTAGCAGTGGTCCAATGTAGCGGGAGTTGGTAGCGGAGGGATGAATAGGTGAAGCACAGAGGAATTTTAGGATGATGAAACTATTCTGTTTGATGCTGTAATGGTGGATACATGACTTTCTGCATTTTCAAAACCCACCGAATGTACAACACAAAGACTGAATGTCAATGTAAACTACAGACTTCGTTAATAATAATGTGTTAGTACTAGTTTATTAATTATAACAAATGTATCACACTAACGCAAGATCTTAATAACAGGGGAAACTGTGATGGGGGGCTATGATATGAGAATCCTCTATGCTATCTGCTCAATATTTCTGTAAATTTAAAACTATTCTAAAAAACGAAGTCTCTTAATTAAAAAAAACACTGAGCTGTTTGTCATATTGACATAATACTCACTTCCATCCCAGAGTGTGCTGGCATGTCCCACCTCACAAGGAAGTAAGCCCAAACACAAAAAGACCTAGAAAAAGAAAGGGAATGTAAGATGAATGGAGATTTTCGGTAATACGTTCCCAGAAATCCCTTCAGTTTGGCAGCATCTTTGAAGCATCAGCCTCCCCATTCCTACTTAGCCTGATCTATGACTTGGCCTGGAATAGTTCTCCCAGTCATAGATCTAGTCAACACTGCAGATAGCCCCCTGGCTCCGCCACCTCATGCCCCCATGCCTCACCGTTTGGTCACAGGGCCACAGCCTTTGCAGTTGCTGTCATGTGTCATGCTCTTCCTCTCCCACCTTCATCTGCGGAAATCCGACTCATTGCTGAGACCCAGTTGAGATACCATATTCCCTGAAGCTTTAGACCATTTCTTGACACAGCACTTGCCACCTTCCTCTGCCTTTCCTTGACATAACAAGCCTGGGCGATAGCATTTGACACATCAGTTGCTCTTCTCCACATAACCTTTGTTCATCTCTCTCTCCTCCCATTAAGTCACCCAGTCTCCTTTTTTTTTTTCTCTCTCTCTCTGCAGAAAAAGAAACCTCAATAGATGGAATGGATAGCAGTCAGGAAGTAGCTGAGGCTCATGATGTTGAACCGAAGGGTCTCACAACGTACAGCTGAAGAAGAAAATAAAATGAGAAGCATAAAGGCAAGAAATGTTAAGGTGGTTCAGAAGAACAGGAGAGAAAAAATGAAGATGAGACATTTATGATATAAGCAATATTTCCAAAGCTGAAGAAATATTTCAAATTTGTAAAACCACCACCACCACCACCACCACCACAAAACCAAAAGGAGTCCCCCAGATAAGCACCAGGGCTAATAAAAAGGGATCCACACCAAAAAATACCCTGGAAAATGTCCTATTTCATAATTTGTTCACTCACTCGGTCAAGTGCTTTGGTCTTCTTCATCCTCAATTTCCCTTAAATCTGGAACCCATGGCATTTCCCCTCTTCCTTGCAGGCAGATCAGCTGAGGGTTAGAAATGGGAAATCCTGTAAGGAGAAAGAAAATATATAGTTGGGTAGGCTGGGAACAAAGTACTGCCAGATTAGTCCCACCCAATGGGTAAGCAGAAACAAGATAGGAAGAAGAGAAAATATTCAGTGAGAAAGACCAAAGGAAAGGCAGACACCACCACGTGAGAATGTTTAGGTTCCTACTATGCCTCCAGGCAAGAAGCTTATCAGAATAATACTGGAAATACAAAGTAGTAAACAGATACAATCAAGTGTTACAAGTGCTATAATCTAAGCCAGAGACAAGATATAGACAGGCAAAAATGAGAAAAAAGTCCAGTAGTTCTCAAATGCAAGCCCTTGGACTAGCTGCATTAGGACTCATGTGGAGCTTCTAAAAACACTTTTTTCTGGGCCCATCAGCAGAAATCCTATTTCACAGGTCAAGAGTGGGGCTGGGAATCTTTATCGGCATTCACAGGTTCACCAGGGCCACGCAAAACAAAGACATCTTTCCATTTATTTGTGTCTTCTTCAAGTTTTTCATCAGTGTTTCATACTTTTCAGCATACAGCTCTTTCACTTCCTTGGTCACATTTATTCCTAAGGATTTTATTGCCTTTGGTGAGACTGTAAATGGGACTGTTTTCTTAAATTCTTGCTCTCATACTTCATTGTTAGTGTATAGGAACATAACTGATTTTTGTATATTGATTTTGTATCCTACAACTTTGCTGAATTTATTAGTTCTAACAGAGTTTTGTCTCTTCCGATGCCTAACGCAGGCTAATTGGAAGACTGGACCTTCAGCGTACAGCCGGGAAAGTTAGGCTGTTAGATACACAGTCCAGCCCTTAACAGGGAAAAACTAAGAGCTGGGTGTTTGTGCCTACTCACTCTACTGAGCCAAAGGGACCAGTCACTGGAAGTGCCTTTCTGCCCATGTATAATCATTACTTATGTAATTTTATGACTTTAAAAAAAAGCTGAGAGATTATGTGACATGAGAGCGGTATTAACTAACACTACAATGGCAATCATATGGTTATAAATAAATGTATAGAACCCACATGTTGTCCACCGTAAACTTACATCACGTTATATGTCAAATATATTTCAATAAACTTAAAATAAATAAATGTACTTTTTAAAAGCTGAGAGAAGGAGTGTGAGTCTATGTTTATACAGTTGGTTTTATTTTCCATTTCTGGTTCTCTTTGCTTGCTCCTCTGGATTCAAGTTAACATCTGGTGTTATTATCTTACTCCCATATAGCTTTGCTCTCACCCACATCCTTCGTGTTTTTTTGTCAATTACATAGCTGTATGCTATTAGCCTATAAATAAAATTTATACAGATTCTTTCATGCAATTCTTTTTAAAAGTCTTTTCAGAGCAGGAAGATATATTTAACTTATACTATCATTTATTATTGCCTACGCCATTACCTTTACTGACACTTTTCTTCACGCAAAGTCAAGTTACTCTCTAGTGTCATTTACTTTCCACCTGAAGGACTTCCTTTCGTATTTTTTGTAAGGTGGCTCGGCTAGCAACAGATTCTCTCAATTTTTATTTATCTGGAATATATTTAAGCTTCATTCGCAAAAAGTAGCTCTCGCTCTCCCTCTATAAATATATATATTTATATTTATATTTGTATATATATAAAATATATGTGTATATGTTTCTTGGTTCAAGATTGTTTTTTCCTTTCAGCACTTGGGAGTATATTAGCACAGTGCCTTCTGCCCTCCACTATTTCTGATGAGGAATTTTCTGCTAATCGGCTAATCTTATTGCAGGTCCTTTGTAGGAGTCATTTTTGTCTTGCCGCTTTCAAGGGTTTGTGTTTGGTTTTCAAAAACTTTCCTCTGATGTGGTACATAATCTGGGTATGAATCCCTTATGGATTTTTCCTACTTAGAATACATTTAGCTTCTTAGATGCCCATATTAGTTTTCACCAAATTTAGGCAATTCTCAGCCACGCGTTCTTTGAATATTTTTTACGCTCCTTTATTGGTCTACGCTCTTCTAGTATACCCCATTGCATGTATGCTCATATGTTTGATGGACATGTAACGTTGAACGTGCATTTCTCCAAGGCTCTATTAATTTTTCTTTTTACTTGTTTTTCTCTGATTTTAGGATTGCCTGACCTCTACCAATCTCTCTTCAAGTTCACTTTCTTACTTCTGCCAAAACAAATTTACTCTTGAGGCCCTCTGGCGAATTTTTCATTTCAGTCATTATCCTCTTCAAATCCAGAAGTTCCCCCATTGGTTTCATTTTAGAATTTATCTTTCTGGATAGTCTCTATTTGGAGACATCGTCATCACGCCTTCCTTTATTCCTTTAAGCATAGTGTCCCTTAGTTATTGGGCCAGATCTGTTATACGTGCTTTGAGGTCTCTTTCTGCTAGATCCAATTCTGGGTCCTCCCACAAGCAGTTTTTGTTGCCTGATTTGTCTTTTACCCAGTGCATAGGTCACACTTCCCTATTTCGTTCTGGGTCTTACAATTTTTGGTGAAAACTGGGGGATTTAGGTACTATATTGTAGCAGCTCTGGAGTTGCTACAATATAGTAGTTGCTCTGGACTTGCTGTTTTGCCCATTTATTTGTGTAGTGATGTGGCTGGACCAGATTAGTGAAGTCTATTTCCCTGCAATGTGCAGCTTCTGATGTCACCACTGAAAGGGCACGACCTTGGGCATGCACACAGTCTCCCTGACTCCCCTTCTCCCAGGAGGCTTTTCACAGTCTCTTTTCCTGATAGTTTCATTAAGCTTCTGCACAGACTGCCTCGACTGGTTTCAATTCCAGCTCTTAGCCTCCATTAATTTCCAGCTGATTGCTTTCCTTTTATTGACAATGCCCTCCCTGGGCAATAAACGGATCCACAGTCAGTTCCTCTGAACTTTGGGACCCTTTGCAGGGGTAATCTTTCAGGTCACTCTTTGATGCTGGCTCCAACTCTAGGAAGACTCTTCTTAGGTATCTCTTTCCCTCCTTCGCTCTGTCAAAATTCCAAATGCCCTACCCTTTGGCTTGTTACGTTCAGAGCTCCCAGCCCCCTCTTAAAAAGCTCACTACCAAGATCTCCATTCTCATCAACAGTACCCTTAGGCCTGCACTTTCCCATGCTTTTCCAAATGAACTCAGTCCCCTTCAGGACAGTCTCCCTTAGAGAGAGCTACAGAGGTGCCTCTAGTTATAGCCTGCCTTTCCCCTTGGGCAGCCCTCCTGCCGCTCCAGAACCAGTAGTGGGGACGGTGGCTCTCTTCCCTCAGAGGGATACCCCTGCTGTACAAACAACACTCTAGGCCAGTCTAGTAGCTCTCCATCTTGTCAGCTTTACTTTCCTGGTGCGACAATTCTGCCTTATAAGCGAGCTGGGGCAAGGGCGATTAGGGCCCCGTAGTCTCAGCCTGTCACACCTGGAGTCTATCTTTGTCCGATGAATCGGGGCCAGGTGGGGTAAGGGAGCAGCAGATCTCTCACCTGCGCTTGCCTGGAATAGAATTTCTGAAACGTAGCGCTGAGAATGAGGAGAAGAAATTCTGGCAGCCCGCCTCTCCCTCAGAGAACCGGTAGCTCTGGAGTTGGGGGGCGGGGCACGGGAGGGGGTGGGCAGGAGAAGGAGCTCCACCTTCTTAGCTGTAGCTACCCGGAGTAGATCTTCCATCATACTGAGCCAGGGGGAGGAGGTGAAGAGAAAATGTGTGGCTCAAATGCCACAGTCTCTCATGGTTCTTACCGAGATTCAGCACATTTGCATGAACTAATGTTTCTCCACTTGCTATATACTCTTTGAACAGTTGCTAGAGACTTGAAAGGATGGTTTTAGAATGTTTGCAAGTTTGATATTTTTTCCTCTGGCAAATCATCTATGGAGTTCCTCACATCATTCAGGAATGGCTTCTCTTTTCCATTCCTTTTTAAATATTATTTTTATTATTACATTATATTACATTATTATCATATATATTATTATATTATTCTTATAAACATGCATGTTTTAAAAGAATTCAAATAGAGTGGTTTTATATAAAAGGAAGCAAAGGTCGTCCCCCAGCCCTACTTATCAGGGGTAGCAATCTGCTAGTACGTTTTCATAGGTATATGTGTATTGAATTACATTCAGTACAAGCTGTCCAGAAGTAGAATCATAAAAGGAATTTAGAAAATTCCCTCTCTCACACTACCACTGAATACATTTCTCCTATTTCCCAAAGCCAACAAATACTTCCAACTGATGTTAGATAAAAAAGAATCAATCAATCGATATGCATCTGCACATAAAATTTAGTCAGCTGAGGGATGAATTCGATCCACTCTCCCAGTGGAACCTTTAACAGAGGTCTCAGAAAGTGACAGGTCAGGCAGAAACAAAATTTAAATGCAGAAAATTTGAATAAGAAAATTAATATGCTTCTTATTCAAATAGAGAAGAAAATACAAACTAAATATGTATTAGATCATAAAAGAAATCTTAATGGGTGTCAAAAGCAGGCATTCCCTACATTACAGTACAATAAAAAACCAACAACGAAAGATCGATTTAATTGCAAGAAGAAGGACTATGTACCTGAACAGACGCAAATGCCTTTCCAAGAAAATTCTCAGGTCAGGAGAAATCCAAAGCAGCAGTTACACACTAAAAATACACCACAGGCTTCCAGTTATGGAACGCGTAAGTCACGGGAATAAAAGATACAGCATTGGGAATCTCGTCAATGATATCGCAATAGCGTTGTATGGCGACAGGTGGGAGCTACACGTGTGGCGAGCACAACATGAGGTTTAAACTGTTGACTCGCTATGTTGTACACCTGAAACTAATGTAATATCGTGTCTCAATTATACTCAAATTTTTTAAAATGTGAAAGTACATAAACCATAGTAAAACACAACCAACAAATCCTGTGCAAGTTAATACCAAGAGTCCTCAGAGTAAATTTCGCAGCCTGAAACACATTCACTACAAAGAAAGACTGAATATACGTGAAAACATTCAAATCAGGAAGCTCGA